ACATGCAAGGAGCACTCGTTTGTCTCTTGCGCCAGTCGGGCCATTTGGCCCCTGTCAGCAGCGTCTTCACCCAGATCCAGGTAGGTACGGCGTGGTTTGCAGCCCCGAAACATGACAGCGGGCGATATGAACCCAACGTGGACGCCTTGCAAACATAGTCAAACCACCGTTGAAGTGGCTGCAAACCTTCTAGCCACCGCGTCTTCGTCTGACCTCTCTTCTCGTACCATACCGCAGCCCGAGCGCGTCGAGCTTTCATCTCATCTTCATGTCTGCGTTGAATTACTGCTACTGAGCGCGGGGTGCGTAAACATCGCGCGATGCCGACCAAGCGCATTCTGTCCTGGTCGAAACGCCAGTCTAGTTCAGAGCCATACTATCGCACAGGAGGGCTGCTGGCGATTGAATCAATTGAGCCCGAGCCCAATGACTATGAACCCAAGGTAGGATGATGTCCAGGAAAAGAAGACAGTGTACTGGCAAATACGACGATGTCTCATGCAAAACAAGGCAACATGTAGGCCGCAATCTGCCGCTGCATACAATCCGACGTCTGCGCCTGTCTTGTGGAGCTTGACCATTCACTGACCATCTCTCTTAGACCACTCTGAGAGTCGAAAAGCGGCGGCCAGCGAACCTTACCATCCTTCCATCGGACGACAAGCAAAATGTCTGCAGTCCTGTCACATCCCAGTATAACGCAGCCGTTGTTGGTGCTGCGACCATCCTACATTCTTCCTCCAACGATATGTTGCGCTCGCCAGTACCTAGCACCAGTCCATGCTCGAGGTCCACATCTTTACTGCAAAAACCCCTTCCCTGTCGGCCACGTTCTGCCTCGGTCCCTTCAATTGCAGAGCTACCTGCCGAGCTACCTGGCTCTCTTTTGTTAGAGAATCAAGGATTTCCATCATCTTCAACTCCTGTATCTGCACGACCGACAACCCAGATCTTTAGGAGGGAGAGTCACCCGCCCGATAAGCACTTGAGTCACGAGAGTGTCTCTTTGGACGCGTTGGACTTGGTTCCGGCGCAATTGAACCATACCCGGTCCGTTCCAGAACTAAGCTCGCGATACAGCATAATGAAGACCATTCCCAGCGGTGATGAACTTCAGTCCGCCAAAGCCACCCAAGTTGATCTATTAACGGAGGCCGATAGCAGATCCTCGAGTAAAGCCAGAAAGCGGAGACGTTCGAGACCGGATTTGATTACTTCTCTTTCATCCACGTACGGGAAAGCCTCGATGAACAAAGGCGGCATGCAAAGTCCCAGTCAGAGGTGGCTTGGTCAGGGGAAGAGAGTGGGTGACCGGGATGCTGGAAACCGCCGACACCGTCAAAATGAAGTGAGTGCTGTTTGTTTCTCGATAGACGTGTGTTTACTGGACAAACAACACCGCATAACGAAACAGTTTCAGAAGTTCTTTGTATCCCATCTCCAACCCTAATGCGACGACATATGCCTGAGTTAGATGTACTGCTTTGCCATGCAGCCATGGCATCAGACCTTTCGCTGGCAATGTCTTGTTGTATCCCCGGATTGGAAGCCTGTAAGACGAATAGCGGCGGTGACATGTTTCACATTCCCAATGTCGCGCGGGCGGCAGTTGCACAAATCCTGATCATTACGTCCACCATGCAGTTTGTTCTGCCTTGCAGTAGTCGATATCGGGCCTTTTCAAGCGCTCAGTGTATATCATACCCAAATGCTGACTATACATAGGCATCTTCTGCGTCCAACCTCTCAGTAACACGTAGCAGGCATATCGAAGAACTCAAGGCGACCATTGCTACACAAGGTCAAACAATCTCGATCTTCCAGTCCCAGTCTACCAGTTTGAGATCGTCGTGCGAGTCACGCATCGCAAGCCTTGTAGAATCACACTCGGCAGAAGTTGCGTCTTTGAAGAATTACATTCGAACGCTCGAAGAGCAGGTTAGCAAGCACGGCCTGCATCACGGTAAGCACCAACTCTTGTCAAGTCTACCATTGCGATCTCCCGCCTTTTGAAGACGCTACTTCCAATTGCGTTGGATCGATCAACAGGGGTTATTTGTGCTGTGTGCTTGTGGCATCAACCACCACTTTAGTTTGCTAAGTGTACCCAGCGTCAAGTAATAATGCCCTGACTGTCCTGGACACCATAGGAGCACCGCACACGCCGATTCGAGAAACCGCACAAGTTATAGTGGATACCGTATCTGCCAGTCCGATCGAACCTGAGAATAAAGAGCAATCACCCCAACGCTTGGAAACCAGCCTTGAGATGGTAGGGATATACGCATGTTGCATGTGAGACGTATGACTGATTTAGAGTACTAGGAGAATCTAAAGCGGAAGCTAAGCAGCACCCGCAGACCCGAAACGACAACCCGAAATCTACTTCCCGAGCTCAACCAATACAAACAGAACAATGTTGCTCTTCAACAGCAAATCGAGTCTCTGATGGCGAAGTTGAATGAATCAAAGAAAAGCGAAAGGGAACTTCGTAACATACTTGGGATGACTGAGTTGAAATGTGCCGAGTTTGAAGATAAGGCAACGCATGCCGACAAGCTTGCAAAAACTACGCAAGCTCTACAGAATACCATAGATCACCTTGAGAACCGTCTTGAGATTGCGAACACAAAGCGACTAGACGCGGAAGAACAGCTTTCGAATTTGAGAAGCGATAAATCACCTTTCGACCTTTCTCCTCCCAAGTCCCACGTACCATCAAGCACAAACCAAGCAACATTTGGTGCTTGTATGAACACAAACACAGTCTTCCCCGGCACTTCAATTGTCAGTTCGGAACTCGACTCTCAAGAAAATTCAGCGTTAGCTGCATTCGTGGCGCACATGGAGCGCCTGCAAGATCAAGTCAGAGGGAAGGATCTCTACATTGCTGAATTGGAGAAAGAACGACAGCAACTGCGGCAAACACACATCCGGTTTGAACGGGATCACAACAAAATCGCTCTTCATTCGGAAATACAAGATCAATCACAAAAAGCACGCCGAACAGATACTTACATGGAACAACTTCGAAATGCAGTCTTGAACCGCGAATCATTGATTGAAGAGAAGGATAGGGATCTTCGCGCCGTGGAGAGGCAGTTAGAGCATCACAAACTCTTGTTGCAAGCAGAAATAAGGCGACATGCGGCAATGAAGCTTCACATGGCCACGGAGGATGACTCGTTGCCTGAACTCACCTCGCTTGCCAGACGGGAAGATATCGATAGGTGGATGGACAGACTCCACGAGCGCCTGAGAAGAGAGCAGTCTAAGAAGAAGGGAGAGACTCTTACTGACACTCCGGACGTGCAGATGGAAAGTATGCAAAATGAAATCGACTTCTATGTCCGGGAGATCATTCTCTTCAAGCTTGACATCAAAGGATATAAAAGCGATATTCGAAAGCTGAAAAAGATCACTGCGCAAATGGAAGCTTATGGCAGGACGGGTGAGTTGGAGTCTGAGGCGTGTTCCCTTAGGCAAACAGCTACATCTGTGCGCTCACAGTTCGCGCCACCAACGCCGGAGCTCTCCAGCACTGCCTCACCTGTCATGGACAACAAACATACCAGAACTACTACAGACGATCTAGGGGAAGGTTCTGTCACTCCCTCGCCATCAGCTCCCTCACGCAATCTGGACTATGTAGCTACCGTCCCAAGGAACTCGCGCGAGCTCGACATACCAACGACATTGCATGAAACAGCGCATGGGGATGACTGCACAGTAGAAACTGATCGCATGGACTGTGGAGTATCTTCGTACACGGCTGGATCGCGGTCAGCCGAGTGCCGGGAGCCTACGGTACGTACGCTGATGGTGTCGTAGCCCAGCGTGTAACTCCCGTAGTGCGGCAAGCTCACTACAAGCTTGTCAATGTTCGATTCAGCTGGACGAAAGATGCGTATTCTTCACAAGTGTAATATGAGTGAGCCTTTGCTTGAGCTGCATCAGGCTTCCCTTTTCTTCACACACGATGGTTCAAGCACAGCACACAGGAAACGGATACGCGGACCTTATTGGAAAGCGATACCTTTAATGGCAAACTTGAATAGCGATGCTTTACTGTCTTCGCCCCTACCTGAACTCAAGCCCACAAAACATGCTTGTGTGTATCGTTGCTGATCATGGATAATGCGATTTCTTGCCATGGCCTTTGACAACTTTTCAATACGAAGCTAGAAGTCCGGAGGGCGCTGTTGAATTAGGAAGTAATTCGCGTACCTCGCGTCTCGCGCTCAGCCATCGAAATACACCCAAGCTTGCGCGGCTCAACACCAACGTCTCCGACTCAGTCTCATTCATGCCTCGTTATGTCTACTGAGATCATATACATAATGAGCATACATGCGTGACTAACAAACTCCTTTTGGCAGCTCTACAAAACAACACACGTTCGATGAAATCTGCTACACGGCTAGCTAGCTCACCAACAATACCAGAAGATGTGAACTCTTTGTTACACTGGGCTTCCGCGAGTAGACAGAGCTTCAAAACAGTCACCTATGTATGTACTAAAAGCTAGCACAAGCTTCATATTTGGAAGCTAGGATCCCTGGTGACGTATGAAAGGAACGCCTATCAGCAACCCTTGAGTGTTCTTTCCTGATCACCATGTTATGCGTATATCAACCACAGGCTCGAGTAGTATTGGCAGGAGGGACTATACTTTATATGCCTTCCCTTTCACTTCACGCTCATTCACTCAGTTCGAAGACAGGCCAATATACCAGACAAGAGCGTCGATCCCACGTTCGCATTCACTTTCACCTTCATCACGACGCTCTGATTGAGACATATCGTGTCGACCCATCTTGTTTGCTGCAAAATCTTACGCGACAACTAGTCGAGACTCTCCTTGTGTATCGGCTCGCTTGGCAGTTCTATTCTCGATCCTCACTCATCATCTTACTGCTCACATCCTTTTGACGATTTTCTCGTGGCGCTTGCCAAAGTATCGGTGTGGCTACAATCAACCAGAGGTAGCGCATAATACTATGGTTCCAGTTAAAGCAGTACCAGAGAAGACGCGCGAGGAGCCTCGTGTGGATTCAGGCGCAGCGCTTTCAGATCCTGCTGCACTTTCTAGTGGATCAGCGAACAAGTAGGCGCATTCCAGCATACCGTCTTAACACCAAGCTCATACTCTAGTAGCAAGCTCACGATGCCCATCCTTAGAAACACGAATTGGAACTATGGTGCTCCGAAAGCTCGCTACCGCAAAAACGAACTACAGCTGCGGCAGCCAAAGGGGTTCCCCATCAAACCACTCAAGATCACGCTCGACCGCGCTCGCGAAGAGGCAGAACTTGAGGCAGCGACCAAACGATATGCTGACCCTGACTTCGAGATCTACGAAGACTGGAAGGAAAACGACGAGCTTGAGGAGGAAGACGACTACGATGGCAAGGTAGAACCCGAGAGCGAGGCAGCAGATAGCATCGCAGAGGATATTCTAGACGGTTTCGCCTACGGCAGTATGGATGGCAACGCAGACGAAAGCGATGCTTCCACCGATCTTCCAACTTTCAGAGTCATCCCTGAGAAGCCTGCTGCGCTTGTTGACAGTCTTGGACGTACTCGCGCAGCTACAAGCCGACGAAAGGCTCAGGAAGTCTCTGACGCTATCATATCGCTAGGAGTCTCACGTGAAGGCAACGGGAATGCAGCAGTTGACAACAAGAAGCGCAAGCATACAAACACGCACGTGGCCAAACAACCAAGGAAGACACTGCCGAAGAAGTCCGTCTAAGGGTCGACCTCGAATGCTACGAGTCGTGTTTGTTTCAGAATCAGATTGTGTAGATTGCACTCCTAGGGGAAATGTATGCAATAAGAGTGGCTAGGGTGGCTCGGATGTGTCGCGGCATAGAAGTACCTGTTGATCTCTTGAACGAGCTAGACACTTTGCAAGTCATCAAACTCAAGCGATATAATACTTTAGTACGAGCGATGAGTACACCAGTCTTTCCTCTTCATGCCAAATTACTCGTGGCTCTTTCACAATTCGATGATGTACAAACCCCCTCACTTGGCGTAAATGCCCTGGTGTATCTAGGTACCTACCGTACTCCAGCTCTAAGCGCTAACCATGATAGGCTCACTGCATTCGTAACCACGTGTGAGCGCGTTTTGTTGGTTTGGAACCTAGGTAGAGTTCAAACGCAGCCCCTCACTTACCCACACAGCGGCCTTCCAGCTACTTTACGCGTTCCCCGTAGCTTTAACCTTCCGCGTGTCTCACTCACTTTCGTCAAGCGATCCCCACCACACTGACAAAAGCGCTTTGGAAACATCGCGACACCAGAACCCAACAGCCCTCCTGAGTCAGTCTATGTTACTGCTGCTACTGTCACAATGACTTCCGAGACCCAGAGAGCCCTTCTACAAGTATGGGCTGACGATATTGGTCATGTCGTTGATCTCAACAACTCACCCAAAGCCGAGTTCGCGCGCTTGGGAAAGGCGAAAGGATGGATTGGTGGAAGTCCGGATTGGTGCTATCATTGGGAAAAGTGCTTCAGCGAGACATACTCGTGGGGAGTTCACAGTAAGTGCAGCCCACTTCATCCAGCACTATGTTCGTGGTGCAAGGTGGAATCGAGGAGTGCAGGCGTCAAGCGAGAAATTACTAATGCATATGTCAAGACAGATCAACAACAACGGGTTCGACTGTAAATGCAGATCTGGCCAGTCAGACTGATACCCCCGATCTCACCAATCACATGCGAAAACTCTCCGTCAGTTCGGATGCGTCATCTTTCTCAGTCATTTCTCGCACCTCAAGGGCAAACTCTTTTGGTAGTGTAAGGTCGCTGTGCAGTGATCAGTCTGGCGACGGTGGATATCTTCGAATTTCCGTTGGCTCACTATCTCGATCGATCGCGGACTCACAGTGCACCTTTTTATCTCTCAACACAGTCAAGTCTCTTGATGAGCTTTCTGGTAGCGTTGAAATTCTCAACTACGACCAGAGTATCTCCATGGATGTGGCTACAGACGACGGTGATACCGGTTCGAACATGTCAGGTAGGGAAAACCCGGTATGGAATGACTTTACCGACTTCGTGCACCACCCAAATGCCCCCTTCAAGGAGGAGTTCGAACGTCTGGCTCGCATCAAAGGTTGGGATCGACGAACCAAACGTCAGAATCTGATCACGTTGCTTCGCACTGAAGTCGAGTTCTACTGGAGTTCAAACGATGTCGATAAATTAGAGTGCTATCAGTACTTGTGTCGAGAGATGGGTATTGAGCAAATACCATGTACTGTTACACAAGCCAGGAAGGTAAGCATCCCGACTTGCAATTACTACCGATGTAGGCTGCTGACCATGAAAAGGCGCTTCGCCCACTCAAGGTCAACCTCTACAGTGTCATTGACCACATGCGCAATCAAAAGACCAGGATTATCACATATAAGACTATGCGCGAGCTTCGTCTAAGCGTTCGCAAGATAGGCACGTTCCCGAGAGATTGCGCCAAAGCAGGCGGAGGTTATATGGCCGCTCTGCTGTCTAAGCTGTAGCAATTCTTATGCATTTCTTAGGATTACACAGACCATTGGATGTACGTGTGAGTTTCTGAAGTTGAAATTTTCACACGCCACCAGGACTTGGAAACGATTTAGATAGCCCATAGAATTTAGTCCAACCAAATCAACCTCTCCTCCTTTGCCCTTATGCAAGCCCACTCTTTTGCGGGGAGATCATGGAATTGGACAGCACCAACCCTGCGAAACGCGTTTCCTTCCCTCAGTGGTAATTCCCGATCTTGCTTTGCTATTTTGTGAAGGCATGCATTGAGAGCATCAACACTTCGGCGTAGCATTTGCAGTTCGGACTTTCGACCTGCATGTGGTGTGTCTTTATCTGGGTGTGGCTGAGAGGAACTCACTAGATTGAGTAGTCGTTTCGTCAATCTCATATGGGTTAGTTGCCGGTAATCATCAGTGGCAGTTAGCACAAGAGCGCTACCGGTGTATGCTATCTCAGAGTCGCTCGTCTTGCGGGCGACGAGCGGCATTAGATAGAAACACGAGCTGAGTAGCGCTTCAGGAAGTTTCTCGTCAGTGATTACCTCGTACTTTTGCGAAGAACCAGCTTCTACGCTCTGAAATGTATGAGTTTTATCGCGTGCACTTCTCCCCAACCGCCCACAGATGAGGTGGCCTCTAACTGCAAGCGGATCAGATGCCGCAAATTGAGGCTGCATATCACTAATCAATGCTTTGTCTTTGAAGTCGCTGAAGCTAAGTGCAGCCCCCTTGTGATTCTTGACAGTGTAGCACCTCTTTGCCACGATACGATCCTGTACCAGTATAGGTGCATTTACCGAAGCCCACGACCAGCTGGGGAACCCTGATTGCAAGACGTCCATTCTGGCACCGTGTTTGGCGACTTTGACTTGCCATGCTAGTTGCTCGTGTAAGGCGACTGACCAAAGTCCGCAACCATATTGATCGGGTAGGTTGTCTCGAACCAACTTGGCAACACTCCAGATTGCGAATGTCTTATCGGCTTGATTTGTCAAGTCACAAGAAGTGTAGTTGAGGACGGCACTTTTCCAAAACTTCTCTAAAGAGTCTTCAACAGCAAGATTAGATCTGTCTTGTTCCGAATTCTTCCGCTGCAGACGGCCACGCCAGTGACGGTCCGTTGTAGCTATTGCGGAAAGAGGAAACGGCAGTCCGTCTGGCAGAGTCTCACATGCGCTGACTGTACTGCAATCCCAAAATACTTGAGAGCGTGTAAAGTGAATGATTCGAGGAGAAAGCATCCTTTCTTTGTAAGGTTAGCATTTGGTATACTGAGTTAATCTATCAGCTTACCTTGAAACACCCAGCCACGCGTGTATATAGGGCTCTGTAACAGTTGCTTTACCCAAAGCTCTTTGTCTAAAACTACCCAGGATCCTTGTGTATCTGTACCCGGCAACGTTTCGATAGGTCTATTCCTAAAAAGACCACCCTGGCCATCTTTCGAGTCTGCGGCAACGATGTTGCAGAACGAATTTTGATAGACAAGGTGCATATATTGCCCTTCCTCTCTGAAATCTTTGTCTCTCCCAGCTTGGCATATGCACAAGGAATCGATCCAGATGTACTTTACTTTGAGATGTCGCGCGACCTCGATAGCCTGCTCGAAGTTCTTGTTCCTGAGCTCTGTTACCGAGAAACCCTGCTTCATGAGCCTGTCTTTATCTTTCGTGGTGAGCGTCAGAAAGTTAGGATTGCGCCCCCAGCTGTGACTCAGAGTGACATACGGCCCCTCCTCCTTCTCTTCCTTCCCAATGACGCGCAGCCTGTCGGAAGCACCTGTGTCGATATCCACAAGGCGTTTGGGCACGTACGGTTTCACCTTTTTGTAGTTGCAGTGGGTATGCTCCGTTTGGCAAGTTTCTAACCACTTTTGAATTTGTTTGCCAGTGTGTTTCAGGGTAGTCGTCTCACCCAGACGATCAGGAGCCGGTAGAAATCTGAGTTCCGACTTCAACATAAAGACAAATCGCCTGAACGATGTTTGTGCAGAGAATCCAGTGTACCTCAGAGCCACAACCATGTGATCATTAGAGTTGGAGGTGCGGCCCATCGTCCGCCTTGTCCAATGAAAAGCCAGCATACTTGTTCCTTTATCATCCATTTCGTTGTAGGCGTAACAGCAGAATTGACAGTATGTCTTCCTATCTCGGTTCTGATCGTAATTGGACCATGTTCGTACTCCTGAGTTCGACTTTGGCAGGAATATACTTTCTTGGCAAGGTGTACATATACCTTCGGGTTCTCGAAGTATTGAGTCAATGACACTGTTACCGGAGATTTCATGAAGCTTGGACTTTGACCTCCAGACTCCATATAATGTGTCATTAGGCTCACCAATGTCCTGCTTTCTTTCGCCGACGGTTTTTTCGAAACTGTAGCTGCGATCCAGATTACGTTCTCCTATATTGGCTTCGCTCAGGTACCGCTTGGCTAAAACTAGATCCTGATTGTAGTCTTCGCGGATATACCAGCCTAGATCCCGAGTGTAGAGACCAATCCTATGTCTGTCCGACTCTTCTTGCCCAGGTGATAAGTTGCCGAAGAAAATAAGTGAAGAAAGCAGCCCATGGGCAGAACTCAAAACGCGACGCACTTGAGGATAAGATCCGTCACTGCAGACCGTATCAGAGCCGCTCACATGACTCAAAAGCTCTTCGAGTCTGATGACTGACATCCAATCTCCAGCTGCTGCTATGGCTATGAGGGCCAACAACGTTTGGTACCTCTGAGCAGCGTTTCCAACGGGACGTAATACTGTACGGTTGAAGCTATCGTGAGGTACGTATGGGTCGATTTCTGGTGTTGTACGTACTGTAGGTCCAAAAAAAGCTCTAAGTACGAGCCGTAACCGTAGTACGGTCGCTCAGACCACATACGGACCGTACAATTGCCTAATTAGGAAACTGCTAAGCTGTTTTTGTAAATTGAAGCTGCTGTAGGCGCTCGGGGAGCTGTATCGTGGTGTTGAGGATAGAGCTTTCAGTCAGCGTCGTCGCCCAGGCAGCTGTTGTTGCTGGCTATATTGCTGCTGCTGCCAGCGACCCCACTGTTGCCGCTGCCTTGCTTGCTATCCCAGCGTTGTACGTGTTGTTGTAGCTTCAAAACTTCGCTTTTGACGACGCCGTGACGTAACCAGTTCTTCTAAAGTTGTAGAGCCTCTATCGTGGCTGCGCTGAGGCGGTTTCGATCGCTTGTAATCGTCCGTTTGGCGGTTAAGAAGATACGCTCACACTCGTAACTAGTAGCGGGGATAGAGAGGTAGTCAGTGGCAATCTTAAAGACTACTAGGTACTTCTAGCGTCCAATTTCGAGCCACCAGCGCCAAGGATCGTAGAGGAGAGCGAGTTGTTGTTCGCTAGCGTTCGTGAGGTCCTCACAGAGGTCGTTAAAGTACTCCTCTAGCTGGCTTGCACGCTTCTAACGCTTGTAAGACTTTAAGCCAGTAAGAAACATAAGATTAACAGCTGTTGTTTAGCTGTAGAGGTTAGCGTTGCCGCTAGGTACCTTGCGACGCGGCAGCGGCAACGCTGTATCGTCGTTGTCTACCTCTGCCGCTATATAGAGCTTAAAAACCTTTATTGTAGAGTCCTTTGCGCGCTTTACCCAATCAGCGTACTGCTTCTAGTAGGTTTGAAACTAGGCAAGGCGTAGGGCGGGATAGAGAGCAGTTGCGACGACGTAATAGCTAATTTAGGGTTGTATAATTAGCTTTTTAAAGTATAAGGTAAGCTTCTTAAAGCTATGTTTTATAGCAGCTATAAAGTAATCGCTGTTATTGCTTTCGTCGTTAAACCTAGCTTTAGTAGAGCTGTAGAGAGTCTACAAAGCTTGCAAGCTTGTTAAGGTTTGCCACAACAACCCAAAGCTAGACGCGCTGTTATTACCCTCTAGGCGCTTCGTCATCTCAACAGGTGCTTATAGAAAGTCAACAAGCTATTATACACCCTCCCACTCCTCGCTAGAGATCTCATCGTTAAGTAGGTTATACTCGTCGTTGTAGCCTTGCGAAGCTTGTTGTTGTAGTCTCGTTATAAAGCGAGTAATCAGGTTACAAAGCTCTAGGCAACAGAGGAGCATATAGTACACTAAGTGCTAGCAGACGCCTCTATCTTAACGTAATTAAAGCGTATTGTACGTATACAACTCGTCGTCGTCGCGTAGTTCTTTTTAGAGCGATAGAAATAACTTACAACACTTGTAAGAGGCGCAAACAGCGTTAACAAAGTTATGTAGCTTGCCAACAACCCCATAGGATCAAAAAAGCTTATATTGTTAAGCTAGGGACGCCTCTACGAGCTAGGATTCAAACTAGCTTACGCCTTTGCCATACAACGTCGCCTTAACAACAAAGTTTATAATATACTCAGCACAGCGTATACAGTTGTTTAACGTAAGATTAATATCGTCGTATTCGTTAAGGCCTTAGATAAGCTCGTTGTCATTGTTAGTAGCGTTATCGCCGACAAAGTAGTAGAGTTGTAGTGCTATTTCAAAGCTATCGAGGGCTTTAAGGATAACAGCAGCTTGCGCAGCGCCTGTATAATTGCCGTAGAGGTTCTGAAACGCGAGGAGTATATCACGCTGTCGATATTAAGCGTCTAGAGTTGTTAGCTGTTGTTAAAATACAGCTATTAATACAGTAAGGACTCACCCGCAAAATGACCTACAACACCAAGGAAACTTAGGTGGTTATTAGACGTCCACACGTTAACACTTATACTTATTTTGCTTCGCGCTGTTGTTACGAGCTTCTTAATCTTCTCCCTCCGCTCCCCTAGGGTTAATCTCGTGTATTTAGCGATCGTAGTAGTTAACGTAAGTAGCGCCTTCAAGAGATCGCTTCGATTCTATGTAAGCAACCCTCGTAGCTTAGGTGAGGTTGCAACTAGAAAGCTAATATCTTTTAGTATTACCTAGTTAACAAGAGCGGCTTAGAGTTGCTCCTCTTGCTACGGCGTATGCGATACGAGTCGATTTAAACCAGCAACCCTAGCAGCGTTAAACAGAGAGCTCTATTTTAGATCCTCCTATACAACCTTAGGCAAAAGGCCTGTATAGACGTTAATCTAGTAATACTTCTTTATGTGGTTAACGATATGCTTGTTGCTGTTAACAACTTTAACTTAGTCCGTCGTACGCGCGTCGTAACAGCGCTTACAAAGCTAGTACTGCTTTATCGTCTTGTCTGTATCCTTATACGTAAGGTGTACCCTATAACGCTATATTAGGGATACTAAACGTCTGCTAAGGAGTTAACTTTTGCTTTTTACTGCGTACAATAAACTCTGTTCGTTCAAGCGTATCCCACCCTTGTATACGCAGCTGAAATCAACTGTAAACGCAGGCTCATTGTCGTCAAAACTCAGCTCAGAAACCTGTAAGAATATACCTAACGGCGTAGGGGTTACTAGAGGTAATTAAGATAGTAATTCTAATAATACTGTACGACAAGAGGCAGCATAGTAGAATACAGGATAGTTTAACGCGGAGGAGTTGCCTAACAGCGTTGAAGAAGTACCCCGTACCCAGCTTCTGAGTTAAGACATATTCAATTAATAATACTAACGATATAAAGCTCAGGGAGAAGCCTCTATATTAAAAAGCTCATTATCCCAGCCACCTCCTAGCCACCGCAATACTCAGTCACCAAAACGAAACTTCCTACAATACCCACAACACCCACGAGGTTTCCAGTTTCGTTCACAAGCCAATACACCCCGTACAGCTATCGCAAGGTGTATCCAGCTCTCTGTAGTGTTGTTGTCGCCTCTGTTGCGCGATATCTCAACGATGAGCGATAAGAAGCCGCCAAATAAGCTACAGGCAACCTACAACACCACAGAAAGCTAGATACACCTCACAATAGCTGTACTGCCTTATTAAGGACCTGCCGTAAGCTAAGGGCAACGTTATATACCGCGTAAACTAGCTATATCCTATTATACAACCTACAAGGACCCCCGCAGCGCAGGTATGTATACACGCTGTTGTAAATAGAGACTTTGCCGTCTCTGTTAACTACACCCACAATAGCGTAGTGCGGTTACCAATAGGGACTTGTCCCGGCTTCAATAAGCCTCTCTTAGGTGTAGTTAGAACTACTGTAAGGGGTTTTTTTTTGTTCAAATTAGGTTACAACCCTCTCTTTTTGCTTCTTTTTAGATACAGATACGCCTACAGCAATCGCAACACCAAGAAATCAGCTGTATAGGACTCCTACGCTGTTTTTTTCGGCCTCACGGCGATCCTCAGCCAAAATCCGATAACTCCAGGCCGTACGCCGTACTACGGCTCCCAAAACTTCACCCCCTACGGATACTGTACGGACCAATGAGAGGTCTCCTACGTACGGCTTACGTACGTCGTATCACCGTACAGTACCTCACCGTACTACTGTACGATGGGAACGCTGCCTCTGAGATGGTTCCAGAATGTTGATGAGCTTGATCTCCGCATCGAAGAATGCGACCACTTCCCGAGGAAGGCGATCAGTAGGCGACAAAATGTCAGAAGGTGAATCAAGATCACGAATCTGGTCGAGGCGAAGTTTGGCGAGATTCGTGTTGCCGTCACTGGGCTCGCAGACAGCTTCGACAACGTCATCGTTTAATTCCGAACCATATTCAGCCGTCAAATCAGCCCTCACAAAAGATTCCAGCTCTGAGGGTACTGTAACAAGCCTCATGTTGACCACATCGTAAGGCTCAGACATTTGATGTTGGCGGTCATCACAGTGGATACCCGCAGTTTTGCACATGTCACAGAGATCGCAAGGACATAGATCGCATGCCCAGTAGATGTACAGGCCGTCTTTCTCCTCCCTCCCACGTCCACACTTGTCGCACTCAACAGGCCAGGCTGGCGGGAAGACGTCGAGCTTGGATACCGCACTGAAAAGCAGCACCCTTAATCCTTGGGATTGGAGCTGACGAAAGTTGTGCTGCAGCTCGCATTGCTTCGAGTATTGTATCCGATCATAGCCATCCATAATGAGATAAAACCCATCTGATTTTAGGAGTTGCTCAGCCAAGAGTGTGCATAAGTCTTGAAGGTCTGTCCCTGAGGACGACACGTTTATGACTCCTGTTCTGAGGGACCCATCATAGCCGAGAAACTTGTCCGGACAAGAAGCACGATCGTGAGGCAGTGTGTCATCCTGCAGTTGCGTACCGGACGGCTCATCATCGTGTACATGGACAAGTGCGACAGGAGCAGTGCCATCCCTCCATAGTTGTCTTGCGATCAGAGCTGCGAGAGTAGTCTAGAAGAAGATAATGTCAGTCAAATCACTGGCAACATGCCTCAATTACTGTGGATAGTCAAACTGAATACTGACCTTGCCACTTCCTGGTCCTCCACTGATATGCAACTGCCAGCAGCGATCCGTCTGCGTCCAGGCTTGGTAGCGAGCATCTTGAAAAGTATTTCGAAACAAGGCTTCATGGATATCGACTGGTATTGAAAATGGTTCATCTTGTCTCTTCCATTCCATGATGCATCCAACCAACGCTTCTTCAGGAGTGCTTACGTTGCCAGCTTATCAGGATGAGCGAAGCATACCTAGGTAGTCTGAAGTTCGACTGTGCCAAGTATTCTCTCTACGATAATTGCAATAAAGTCGTATGGTGGTGGATGCGAAAATAGAATCGCTTGTAGCTTTCAGCGTCTCCGTTGGTACAGGCTCCGATAATGCCCTCGCAATTTTCTCTCATCAGTACCAACCATGCTGAAACAGAGGCGTTTGCTCGAAATTAAAAGTTGACAGGCACAAGCGCGGCGAAATCTGGCCGTCTTTGATCGACTCAATACCCAGGTAAGCTACGTGGGGGCCAGGAGCAAGGTGTCTTAATTGGTCAGTTTGTTTTCAGCCCCCAATGGCTGAGCCTTGTGGGCGCACCATCTCCAGCCTTCCAGCAATATCGGCGACTTAACACAAGCCGCACCTGCCGTTCAAGACCTAGAATACGCAGATTTTCCGATGTTGATTACTTCGACCCTTGTATCTAGGTTTACTTGCGTTGACAATCTCGTCACCTTCTTGCCCGAACCCTCTCTCAGGCCCCCAGATCATTTTCAGCTAATACGCATTGTGAGCCTCATAGACATGGACCCAACTATTTTTACATATATCAAGTCGCAACATGCGCAACTAAAGATCATACCGATACCAGCACCCTCCTTTTCAACGTCGCGAAGTTGTTCATTTGGTCTTCGAGTGATTCCAGGCACACCATGATGCTGTCTTTTGCACTGAGCTTTTGCTTTGTCCAGCTGCCAATCTTTTGCCATGCCATACCTCAATCATTCTCTACCCATCTTCCCAAGCGTCAGGATGCGCCATCATCTGAACTACCATGTTTGAGTGTCATCTCTGCAGCAGCACAAGGTACGACATTGTTGCGGACTCAGTGTAGATGACAGCTAACGTTTAGTAGGTGTCTATATCTTTGCAGCATCTGATGTCTACGATTGTATCAGCAGGGTACCTTTTCATGCAGACGTTGCCTCTCGTTTTATCGACTACTACAACGACACGTTGCAGTTCCAAAGCACGCTACGATACTTGAACAACCCTCCGGACGGGTATCAACAACCATCAGTCGACGTACAACAAGAACTCGAGAACATCCGGGCAGACATCGTCTCAGGCACATACAAGACCCAATATGCTTTCGAGGAGCAAATACAGGTACTCATTAGCCGCATCCACGATAGTCACGTCACATTAGATGCAGGTATGCTAGCAGCTTTCAAATTCGCCAGTCCTTACACACTCTTGTCCCTCTCGGAGAACGGCTCAGAAGAGCCAAAGATTTACCTGAAGGAGGATCTACTCGCGGCTGCCAAAGAAGGTTACGATGCCTCCCCAGTCACAAAGATCAACGGTATCGAAGTTATTGAATATTTGACGTCGCTGATAGCACCTAATTCGGAGGGTTACGTTGAGCCGCACGCTGATTGGAACTCTCTCTTGAGTAGTCCTGCCAAGGATATACAAGGATACCTCAGCATTTTCCAGCGTCTGCCGCTATACCCAGGAGATGAACTGAACTTTACCTTTGAGAACAATACATCTCTGGATACCATTTGGCTTGCCTTGTACGCAGAAAACGCACGTACTGGCCCTTTGACTACACCTGGAGATTTCTACAACTACTTTGTGCTTGGGCTAATACCTGCTGGTTTCGATCCCAATGACGCTTCTTCACCTCCATGGTGGCCTGCGGATTACAACATACCTTTTGAAGAGTACGAAGCTCCATCGAACCCTGAGCCAGGCTTTGACTGCTCAACCTCTGCAGGTCCGGCGGTAAATTGGTGCAATGTTACCAATGGCAACATTGGAGCATATCCCAATGATCCAGTAGTAGTGCAGAACGACATGTCGATCACTGGGGCTGGTGCCATCTCGGGATATATCTTTGATGACATATCTACCGGCGTCCTCAGCATACCAAGCTTCTATCAGGACGGCCTTAGTGTGGCTTACTTCTTCAATGCTATCGACGAATTCATTGGAAATGCGACCACTAAAGAGATCAAGCGCGTGGTTATAGACCTCCAGCAGAACACTGGTGGGCTGGTCTTGCTTGCCATGACAACCTTTCAGCAAATCTTTCCTGAACTGCCCCTCTATACAGGAAGCCGCATCAGAAGCCATCGGTGGGCAGACATTCTTGGTACAGCATATACAGATTGGTGGCAATCCTTAGATCCTGATTCTTTCGAGTCTCAAGATTCCGCAGCATCAGAGTGGATCGCTGTGAATCGCATTAATGCCGCTACAGGGCGCAACTTTGCGTCGTGGTCAGAGTACTTTGGGCCTGTTTTGGATCGCAATGATGCGTTTTCTCAAAAGGTAAGAACGGTAGCTTGTTCACAACTACTATTGCTGACATTGCCCAAAGCAACTCTACAACCTCAGCGATGGAGTTTTTGATTATGACATGTTCGGATGGACTTACCAACCTTGGGTGAACTCGAGCTTCGTCGTTGCAAATCCTGGCTGGAACCCCGATGAGATTGTCTTGGTAAGCAGCGCCCGACTATACATAGTCACTCAACTGACTGTGTGACTAGCTTACTGACGGACTATGCTCTTCTGCCTGCGCATTGTTTGTGGAACTCATGACAGAGCTGGCAGGCGTACGAACGATAACATTCGGAGGTCGCCCCCAGCACGGACCGATGCAGACAGCGAGTGGCAACCGCGGAGCTGCTGCCTACACTTCAAATCGCATCGATTACGACATCGACAATCTGAAGACTCTGATCGGTGATGAAGCCGCCTTCAACAGTATTCCGTCCCGTAACGACACTGGCATATTCACGAATTACGCATTGTTCAACCTCCGCGATCAAATGCGCCCCGAGGATTTGACGCCACTACAATTTCGCTACGAAGCATCCGATTGTCGGTTGTATTACACTCCCAAGAATGTTTACAACATGAGCCAATTGTGGAGAGACGCCGCCACTGCCACTTGGGATGATACGACACTTTGCGTGCCTGACTCCACAAACTATTCCAAACGCACAAGAACACAACGCAAACCCCCACCGAAACCCAACAGTCAAGCATTTGTTCACTACACAGTCTCAGATATTCAACTAGCAGACCCCCTGGAAGTCTCGTTTAATACAAGTGTAGGGCTGATGGACAGCAAAACACCGCCCAATTTCAACACATATCAGAAGTGCAACAGCAACAACAACATCTGCCCAGCCAGTTTGGTCTGTGCGCCAGCGGTGGCGTCCTGTAACGCGGTTGGGGACACTACATTATACCTATGTCTCCAAAGGTGCAATACCTTACAAGCACTCGCTGGTGACTGCAAACCCCAACAACTAGCCCAGTCTACTGCGCAGCAGCCTATAGTGAAACGATCACCTCAGCCACAGCGTTATGGTCCTCGTCTTGCAGGTTCGGCTCCAGCGAAACCTGTTGGTCAACTATCGGGCTTCAGCTTTCCGCCGAAATCCTCATCCACGACGGTTGGTCAAGGCGTGTATAATGGGTACATTCAGCCTGGTATAGTCAAGGCAAGTAGCTATTATCCAAACTCCGCTTGTAGTATCGTCTAGTGCGCGTTACAAATCGAGTGGCAGTCTTCGTTCTGCCAGCAATCTCACCTCTAGATAAATATCCCGATAAAACATAATATGAGAACACTGTAAGAACCTTGAAGTCTGCATTCTTACACCAACAGGAAGTAACAAGGAAATTGTTAAATTTGTTGAATTGAGATATTGTTGTAAATACGCAGGAGGTAATCCCTATAACCTTCCTACTCTCCTATGTTTCTTTGTCATGAGGTTTTACTGTATAGCCGCTTGCCATAATCAACAGAGCTACCATATTAACAGTCAAGCCCATACGGAATGTCAGTTCGACAACCAAAGCAATGGTCTTCAGCAATCCAAAGTGATTCTTTCTTACGCGCTTGATGCACGTTGCAAGGCTGTATGATGTCAAACTCCTTTCAGGAGATGTTTTTACCAGGTAAATGATAACAGAATCTCAGAATATGTGCTCTAATTACTGGTACGTTTCTCTATGCATGAACGCGGCACGGCAACACCACCATGCAGCAGCCACACAATGTGGTCAGGATTCATTCGATAATGACAGCTCAGAGTCCCCGTTCCCTGCAGTGTAACTTGATGCAGCCATTGGAGTAGAAATATTGCCGCCATTCGACTGTTCTAGTCAGTTGTCGACGTGGCGTCAGGGATCGCGGGTTTCCCGAACCCTCAATGGTCTGATTGCCAATCTGTCTCGGTTTGCTGCAGGATTTCGTATGCACCCCACGTCTGGAAACAAGAAGTTCACTACTACTTGCAATGCCCCAGGACTTTGGTGAGCTGATAAACTGCTTCAACATGGTCCGTCAACGAAACCCTCGCGCTCGTAAGTGTTTTTGTTTTCTCAAACATCAGGCATTTTCACGGTATAACGCTTTGTCCTAGAACTTGCAGCTTCTATTGCAACCCCAAACGGTGCTAACACACCATCCACTGCGAATACACGCATGCCAAACCAAGCTGAAACGTGGTTCTTGAGCTTTGCACTCTTCGTGTACGACCCGACCGCCAGCATCAGGAGTAACTTCGACCGACTATCATCACAGCGCAAGTGGGGCGACAAGCTTCGAAGAAAGCATTGGACAAACTGTCAGGCAGCTTCAGCAGCCCTAGATCACGATGATACGGATAACGATGTCCATACCCAAACCCCAAGTCAGGCTGGTGCATGGTTCCAGAAGTTCCCACCTTTCGTGTACAACCCGACGGCTGGAATCAGGAGCAATTTCGAGCGCCTAGCGGCGCAGCGCAAGTGGGCCGGAAAGACTGTGAGAAAGCGCTGGGCTGAGTGTCAGGCGGAAGAGTTCGACTATGCATATGGAACAGATACGACGAAGCTAGAAACCTGGCAGAATCTCTGTCGCGAGGTACACGTTAGCGATCCACCAGGCAGTATCACCCAGTGCAAGAGGGTAAACAAGTCGCAAGCAATTGGGAACTTGTTGCTAACTGCATGTAGGTGCTTGGTAGCCGGAATGTCTTGGTCAACCTGGTTAATCTTATCGATCATCGTAACATTGGTGTTGAGGTCATCCGGTTTAAGAACTACTACAAGTTCCGGGAATATACATCACCGGACAACATTTTTCCTCGAGGGAGGGCGAAACAGGACGGTTTCATAAGCGCGTTGTTGAGGAAGCTATGATAGATAAAGCATGTGCATGTTAGCGGCATGTTAGGGTTGGAAGGAATGACAAGGAAATGCAACACCACAAGTCCTGCGCGTGAAAATGACCCTGAGAGACGGATTACTTAATGTGCATGACTCAGCGGCGTACGGCCGCTTGGGGACGCGTCAACATTCATTCTACGCTTTCTGGCCTTTCTTTTTCCTCGGGAGCACCACAAATCGCGGTCTAGTGGAACGCGACACGTCGGGCAACGCTCTTAACCAAAGGGCCCGCATTCCCGTGCACCACTATCGACACCCCACCCGCAACCTTGAAAGATGGCTCGTCGGAATCGCGCTAGCGCTAGTGAGTAGCAATCCGGAAAGAGCAATACCTAAGCGACGTACTTACATTAAACAGAAGGTGGCGTTTCCATCGTACCTGAAGCCGTGACAACTGCTTCTGATTCCTCAAGCGATTGCAGCACTCCTCCCCCAAGCGACAACGGTTCTTCTGATCAAGGCCATGACTATTTCACGCAGGAAGAATTTCACGGATTTGTCCCGAGCCCTGAAGACGATCTGATAGCCAAACTAAGTAAGCTCTCTATTCATCAAGGTTGGTCCAAGAACGAGGAGAAGCGACGTCGCGCCGAAGTCGTTGAGTTTGAGGTATTACGACACTACGGCCCCGACAAGTCGAGCCTAGCAAAGTGGCAGGAACTGTGTCGCGACGTCAAGATCGATCCTATTCCACAGTCTATCACACAGTGCAAGAAAGTGCGTAAATGATTCTACCGTTTAGCCCATTTATTTAACATGTTTCATCAGGCTCTCTCACGCGTCTATGTCAACATCTTCAACATCCTAGACCACCGGAACGATCCAGAGCGCTATCCGGTCATTACCTTCAAGAACTACAAGCTCTTCCGCGCATACACCCTTAAGAGTCGTATCTTCCCTTTGGATCAAGCGAAGGAGGAAGGGTTTGTCAAGGCTCTCCTTCGCCCGCTCTTCATGAACAAGAAGTAGGAATATTAGTGCATCGGCGTTTCTGGATACAAGGAGTTTGGGGGGTTGTAGTTGGAGTATGCGGCGGCGTTCGGGTTCTTACTGTCTCGATGCGGTCTCGTCTACGAGCACCAAGTGGTAATACAGTAAATAGCGCGGGTACCCGAGGTTGGAAGCGGCTTCGACCCCCAACCTCATGGAACTTATAAGCGCACCGAATAATGAGGAGTGCTATTAATGGTATCCTCCAGCAAAGTCGCTGATCTGAGCAAGGTTGGTGTGATGTCTCTGTCGATGCATGTGAAGTCAGAACTAGTGGGCGAGATGTCCGGCGGCCTTGCCCGTCATAGCCGTAGTGCAACTTGGCGAGGCCGAAACAAAGCTCACCCCGTGGTGTCGAGCCCGTCCACCCCGCTCTGCGCAACTCAGCGTATCGTCGATCCGCTTGTATATGCCTCAAAGGCAAACAACCTTCACTATGCGTTGCCTGTCACGCTTACCGCAGGCGGCGAAGGTGATGTGGCCTCGTGCCCGCCTTCTTCCGTAGAAGCTGCAAGAACGCAACCACGCCCTTTACTAATAAATACCACCCACAGAGGCTACGATGCAGCAGGAGAATGAGCGTATGAAGCTGAAAGATGGCCGTACCCTATCCTACGCTGTTTACGGCAGTCCGGTACCCCAAAAGACAATAGTCTTCATGCATGGCTGCCAATCGTCGCGCTACGAAGGCAAGCTCTGGCACTCGGCTTGCGCCCTACACAACGTCCGAATCATCGCCCCCGACCGTCCTGGCAGCGGCCTATCGACCTTTCAAACCAACCGTCGTATCCTCGACTGGCCTGCCGATGTGCTTGCCCTGGCCGACCACCTCAAGATCCACAACTTCTACGTACTGGGTGTATCTGGAGGCGCACCTTACGTACTGGCCTGCGTGAAGGAGATATCGAAGGACCGCTTGATGAGCGCTAGCATAGTCAGCGGCTTGTATCCAGTCAAGTTGGGGACAGCAGGCATGACGTTTCCTTCGCGCATTGTCCTATGGGCAGCGCCATGGATGACTGGTCTGGTCACCACCTTGTTCGATAGTACCATGGGCAAGGCGAGTCGCAACGACGATCCGAAAGTCCTAGAGGAAATGATTGCCAAGGAGATCCAATGTCGACATCCCAGCGACCAAGAAGCCATCAAAGACAAAACTAACTGGCCCATCTACGTAGCCATGACCAGGGAATCGTTTTATCGAGGGAGTGAAGGCGTAAGCTGGGAGGCAAAATTGAACGGCAGCGACTGGGGCTTCGAGCTTGGACAGCTGTACGTTGGGGACAATGGGATCCCTCTTACGCTGTGGCATGGTCGGGAGGACCAGAACTGCCCTGCTGCAATGGCCCAGAAGGCCAAGGACCTGTTGCCAGGCACCTCGCTACGCCTGAAGGATGGCGAAGGTCCGATGAGTTATATATTTCAGAACGCCGATGACATATTGGAGGCTCTGATGGGTGAGACTGAGAGTGAGGAATACATGGTGGTAGGCGCCGCGTAATCACTTCTCGCCAGCTGTTTGTACATCTCTCGGTACAATAATTTATCTACCAACTGTTCATTGTCAGCATCTCGTGTTGAAAACTTGGATAACAAGAGCGAACTACAATCAATGTAATCGTATTGAAATTAGGTTCCCGTCTGCCACGCATGTAGCGTGGTCTAAATAGTGTCCAGCGAACGTAGTAATAATGGTATCATGCAGAAAAGAAAACCGAACTCCCCGAGTCCTAAGAATTTGCCCATCCATCTACAGTCTCTCACATTATAATTTGCTGAAGTTTCTCGTAATCATAACGATGACACCCGCAACAATCTTGAACGCAATTTTCAGGACAAACACCACAGTCTTGAATGCGAATGTCAATACTGTTATGACGGTGCGGGCGACAAACGGCAATTTACTTTCGTCATCAGCACTCGCCTTTTTTGCCTTCTTCTCAGACTTTGTCTCTTTTGCTTTGGTGTACTTGTCCTGTCCGTACCACTCTCCCAGCTCAATGTCCTTGTCGAAAC